GACAAAGTGTAGACATTTTTGTGTTGATGACAGAATGTGTTCTGTTTGTGTCACATACAAACGACGTCATGAGGCTTTCAAGTTGCTGTGGTGTAACTAGTCCACCCACATTGAAGTGGCACTCAGTTATGGAAATGACAAAATGAGCGAAACCCAGTAGAGTCGAGTCCAGTCGAGTAGAGCTCAGTAGGCACTAGTGGAGAAGAGGCAAATCTTTTCTGCCATGATGCACGTAAGCAGAGAGGGGTGAATTCACTGAGAGCTAACTGTAACTGCTTCCAGCAGTATTATTAATGCGCTAAAGAGAGAAGACAACTTAGAACAACTACAACTAACAAGTTAAAATAGTTTTGATACCCCATCCAGCAGAGTCCCCTCTGAGCGAGGAAATGGCAAATGGTGAACTACGACCACAAATACCTTTCCTCTGAAATCCTACTTTTAATTGATTACATCTAATGTCTCCCACCTTCAAAGCAAAAGTTTATGATTTCAAAACAAAAACCTGGTCACAAAAAGTAGTGACAGACTGTGAGCAAAGGTCATATTTCACTGTTAGCTAGGCTACACTTAGCTAATGCTAAAATTAAGACTAGCTGATGAGAGGGAAGGACTGAGAAAAATTAATCAAATATATAACCTACCTCCATGGTGCCACGTCCATATATTTGTCTCAGCAAGTGACTAAAACGTCCTCATGAAATAACACATTAAAAAAATATGACATTTTAAAGTGAATTCACAAAATAGTAACTTCTTGTAGGATATATTTATATCATTTACAGTATATCAGAAAACCATGCTCCCCTCTAGTTCATATGCTGATAACCAAACTCTTGCAGTCATAGACTTGAGTTCAAACTGCAGTGATTGAAAACTCACAATAAGTTATTTGCAATCTTTTACTGAGTTTATTTTATTATAATATAGTATAGGAGCAGGAAGGTTTGTTGCAGTCTAATCACTGAATGGACTCATGAGTTGGCTGAAGTAAGTGTTAGGTGTGTTATAGTGTGCTATAATTTTATGTCAGTAACATTCATAGATGGTGAAAGGTTTGCAGTTGAAGTGTCTTTGGCAACTGCTACTCCAAGGAAACGTGGGATAAGCACTATTATCTTTTCTTTTTCTTTGATAGAAGATTTTTTTATGCACTCGGGTTTGCAATAACCTAGTGGATAAAAATCCGGATCCTGATCTGATTTCTCCTTTCCAGTTTGTTTTGAGGTATATTTAGTTGACAAGTAGAGTTTCTGTGATGTATTCAAAATTGAATGACATCAGTTTATTTAATTATATTTGTTTTTAAATTGTTTTGTAAAAAATAAATGTTTTAAAAAAGATATGCATATCTATTTTATTATTTGGATGAACGTGTAAGAAGAACAGAACTAGGACCAACAACTGCAGACAATTCAACAAAACTGTAACAGGGTGAGAAAACTCAATATTTCACTTTTCAGAAAAGTTGGGCCAGCTTGATGCGAGAGGAGTGAGTAAGTGTCAACCTAACATTCTGTACTGTGTGCATATTGTGTCAGTGTTCTAAGTCAAACCACCTTTTTTATTGTTGTTTTTTTCATCTTGTATTCTGTTGTATGTTTGCATGTTGTATATTCGTTTCAGTAAAATATTGCCAGTCTGTTTTCCGTTTAACTAGGAGAATATAAGGCGTGCACACCCTAACCCTTCATTATTTTACAGAACTAAATCTTAACAAACTAGATACACTCACACAAAAAAAGTGTTCTAGACATATTTTTTGTAAACACATGTAGCAGCAAGCTCACTAAATGCTTTATGTAAAATATTATGATATTCATATGGTGGCTATATAAGATAAATTGATGTATGTTCCAAATGTAGAATGTTTCAGTAAAAAGTAGAGTAAAAATACATTTACAGCAGACAATTTCTGGGAAAATTAAACATGCTTTTGTTAAGGCTCACTTACACTGACCTATCCATTTTAGCTCAGACCATTTTTACCACATGAAAAGCAATAGTGGGCTGAATTTCATTCAGAACTGCCTAGTTGTCTAACAACCCTTTCGATTTAAAATCCTTGTCCTGTTTGATCTGCTCCACCTCCATGCTCCGAGGCCATCTGTCAATCTCCATTGTCAAGGCCAAGCACCAGACACTGAATGATCATTATTGTTTTTTTAGAACTGCTTTTAATGTGACTAATATATTTTTGCTTTTTAGTGGTTATAATAATCTTTCCTATTATGTCAGGACTCTTTGAGTCTCTTGAAATACATTCTATAAAATAATGGCATTATTATTGCAGATTATGCAAACATTACACAAACGTTTCAACTTCTAGCAGTGGAAGTGAATTACATTGATCATACCTTTTGATCATACTGTTACAGTGCAACACTCTTTGTTGAAAACGCTGGGTCATGGCATTCATATGGATAGCACTTTGACACATGCCACCCAAACATACATTTTCTCAGACAAAGCACACCCTCCCATAGTTACGGCACACCCATCATGAGGATAATGGCCCACACCACAAAAAAACTACTCAGGAAACCAAATGCATTGACTTGATCTCCAAGATCCTATTATACCTTTGCAGCATCCCCCGGAACAAGCCCAGGCCAGTGATGCTGTCATCCACAGTCGACAGGACTTAAAGGACCCACCATCTCCATGCCAGTCACGGCAGTATACATCAGAGGTTTAAGCCATTGTAGCAAAGTTTGGACTGAAACTGAGCTCCTAACTTTAGAGTCTAGGACCAACTCGATTAAAAGCTCCCTACATCATAACCCATTTTTCTTTCACCTGGCCTATTATGGCAACCATATGTGAGTTATGTAAATAATAATGCAAGTGGTGAAATGTAGTGCAATAAAATAACTGGCAGTTCATTGTTTTTTGAGTTTTTGAAGCAGTAACTTTAAAATATGAGAAGATGAGAATTTGAAATGGTTAAATCTTGCTAATTTTGCTAACTGTTATTGTGACTCATTTGTCCAGGGTAACGATTCAAAGCAGGGCTTTAACTATACTGTTGATGGTAAAATTAATATTTTCAGATTATAAGGACATTCTTCACTGCAGCAATTAAGGAGTCAAGATTTTAATCATTTATGCAAATATACAGGGAAAATACGGTTATGTGTCTAGAGTGATCAGAACGGCCCCTTTTAGTGTCTTCTCTTAAAAAAGGAAACCCCTAAAAGGTGCTGTCAATTCAGTGTAGTGGAGTTAAAAAGAATAATAGTAATAACCATACCAGAATGCAACACAATAATCTCAAATGACACTTTTAAAAACATTTTAAAGATATTAAAAAGAGGCTTTTACAGTAAATCTTATTGCTATAGAATTTCCCTCAAGCTACTCTGAAATTCAATGGTCTTTGCTTTGTTTTGTGGATCCAGACGAGCAATCAACAAAGGGCTGAAAAGAGTATTTCCGAATTCAATCAAAACCTTAGACCTGCTCAATAGCCCATTAAAGTATCCAGATAAAGAACAGATTTTACTCTCTTTTTTGTCGAGCGTTTTTATCGCTAATCAAGAAATCACTGGTCCACTCAGCAAATGAGATGGACCCTGACGTGATCATCTTTTGAATACTCGTGATGCCATTGTGTCCCGAGTCCTGCGTCAAAGGATGATGGACATCTCAGCTAATCAGAAGCACAAGGCTCGAAAGAGGGAGTTTGTCTTTCTCAGTTCACTGATTGCCAGCTTCAGAACAGTTAGGCTATATGACGCACACCGTAGTCAGCTGGTGCGCGCTAAGACTAAAAGACCTTTCGTGGAAAGGTTGATTCGTTATGTTGCTGGCAGCAACTGGTGAAATGTGAATTTTCGGAAATGCTAGACTTATATCAAAGCAACTATTGGTGAAATTTAAGAAAGAGCCTAAATTAACAAATTTATCCAGTTTTATTTAGTTTTGAAAAATATTTTGAAGTCCATGTTTCTTGACTAGAATGAACTCAGGCTGTTAAATCTTAACGAGAGCTGTTGCGAACCCACCGTTCTGTCTGCATAGAAACACCAGCTGTTTGTTTTTATTTTTTTACATTTTATATATTTATTTAAGAAGAATGTGTTTATTAAACAATATCGCATCAGATTAATCACCGCGATCGGTGTGAGCAGTTATTCTGTTGCTGGGCTGATTGCGTGTGTCCGCCCGGATGTTATTTAATAGGTTACACGGTCATATCCTTAAGAGATCTTACTGCCCATGGCCTACACGGTCTCCCTGACATCCACTCACAAAAAGCCATTGTATACTTGACCACTGAAATCTGATTCGTCTTCTTCTTCCTTTTTAAACCGACTTGAAAGCAAATATTTTAACCACATCTCAGTCCCAAGTGGATTTGCGTTAGGAGCACTTAGATTTAAGTCACTGTCACAACAGGCCACTCTCCTGCTGCCTGTAAAAATCTCAGATTTGAGAAATGTCATGTTCTCTTTCATCTTATCCAGGCGTGTACGCTTAACACCTGATAGCAGACTTGGACGGACTGTTTGGCAGCTGCTCTAAAGAGGTAGGTTTGGGCACAGCTCAGTTGTTTCTGTTATTGTGGCCAAGCCCACGCATATTTTTTTTTTTTTTTTTATTTCTTTAGGTAGCCCGCTGAATGGTTGGCACAGCAGACTCAGCTATTTTTTTTGTAAACGTATGGTAGTTCCAAGAAGACCGCGTTCTCGGAAAGAGTGAAACATAATCTTCACTTTTCAGTGACTCAGCGAGCCTGGTACACGACCAGATATTTGTTTCAGGGCTACAAGATGACAATGGCATCTATCAAGCCCATTCAAACTATGCGTGGCCACTGAGCCGGATCTTGAAGATTGAATGCATGTTTGGCACGGTACCTATCCATCTGAATCCCCACCTAGAGGCAACAGGTTACACGTCTCGCCTCCCTCAAATGCACTTATAGCGCACGGCTTTTGCACGGCTTTGACTTTCCATTTCTCCCAGCACTGCGCCTTTTGCACATGCCTCTCACCATGGTGGAACATAACGGCCTGGATATTATGTGTCCGAACAAGTATAGCAACAGCTCCTCGTCGTCGTCCAGCTCCGAGCAGGACAAGAAGATCTTCAGCAAACTAAAAATCAGTTTGTCGGAAGACTATCCGAAGAAGAACGCAGAGTTCCTGAGCGGGCAATACGGGACCAATCTGCTGCTGATCGGGGCGGCGTTGATGCTTGCCATCGCAAACAAGAACCCCTCCGTTAGGGAAGAGGATCTGCGGTCCTTCACTACCTGCCTCATGATCCTCCAGCTGCTCTGGATGATGTGGTACATCTTGGTACGGGACAGGCAAAAGAGCGCGCCGCCAGAAAAAGATGTACACGCCACCTCAGGCTGGATAAGAGGTGAGTTTGCGAGATTAAACAAGCAAATGCGCACAGTATTTATGCAACTGTTTTATTTTTCGTTAGTGTGAAAATTAAAGGGATTTATGCGCGCGACCACTATATGTTTGTTTCATAACTTAAAAAGAACTTGAATGTTAACATATGTGGTCACAAAGACTTTCTTTTCTTTGATTATATCGCTCAATAACTTTCTTTTTCTAGGTGGTTTGACCCTTCTTGCACTCCTTTCACTGATTATGGATGCTTTCCGAATTGGGCAATATGTTGGTTTTCAACCTTGTGTGTCGGCGGTGCTCGTGGTTTATCCTGTCATCCACGCAACTCACACTATGGCACAGGTAAGTGCACAGCCTAGGTTTAACTTTTAAAATGTGACACTCTTTCAGTAGTATCTTTTTTTCCCATATACTATTTCAAGATCTTAGAATAATGTGCTCTTTGTTGTTAAGGCAAGTAGAGAGCGTTGCTGCGACAGTATAATCCGATCATTGTCCATGTCGCTTGAGTGGAACTGCATATATCAGTGGGAATCTTTAAATGTAATGACTTAAGCAAATAAATAGAATTAAGTTTACAATAAGTATTTACTTAGTATATTATGAAGTGTATTTCTGAAGCTTAATAAAATCACTAAACTGCATTTTGGATATGACTTTGTCAAGCTTTTTTAAGACTTGTGTTTGGGTTTTATTTAGGTGCATTTTCTCTGGTTTCACATCAAGGATGTCATCAAGAGCTTTGAAACATTTGAGAGGTGTGTGAAATGTGCGATAACCTGGGCCTTTAGTCAATATATCCTTTTGCAAATCATAAGAAAATTATGTGTTCATAGTTCTATTTTAATCAATGGCATGAAACAAGCTCAACAACACAGCTAAATCCTGTCACTTATACTTGCTGTTAGGTGATCGGGTGTCTTATTTTCAACTGCTGTCTCCTCAGATTTGGTGTAATCCATGCAGTCTTTACCAACATCCTCCTGTGGTGCAGTGGTGTGATGTCAGAGGCTGAACACTTCCTGAACAACCATAAGAGGAGACTTTCTGCCCTGGGCCTTGTAAACCTCACTACAGGTAAGGACCCGGGGGTCGATTGCAGGCTTGTTTTTAGAAGAAAAGTACAATAGTCCGCTTGAGAACTCACTTCAGTGGATGAAAGAAAAGGGAAAGAGAGGAGGGCTTGGAAGCGCAAGGGAGGTAAGCCTGGCTGCTCAGCAGGTCTTGTTTGTGTCGAATGTCTCTCTATTAGGTTTCAGAAGACACATATTGTTGCCCCCTCCCCAGTCCTTTCCCCACACTTCAGCCACCACCACCTCCTTTGGCAACCCCCCACTTGACCTCAGACGGCTTTGTCCCCAGGCTGCTTAGTCCCAAGGGTACTGCAATTACAGTAACTGATACATCTAAGCTTAGGGTTGAGGGGTTCTGCTACTCCTCTTCATATCCGGCTGACTGTGAGGCTGGCTGCACCCTGACTGTTGTTCACTTTTTAATTAAAGGGTGCATGACCATAGTAGTGGGCTCGGGGGGAAAGGGGGAAGGGGGGTGATGGGGGCCAGGAGCAGGTGAGTTGGGAGGGGGCTTAAGACCTAGAGGGCAACAGTGTAACCATAGGAAGTGTACAAGACGTGCATTCAGCTAATGAAGGAAATTTCAAATGAATACAATATGATTAATAAATACTCAAAAGCAGAAACTTGCTTGCTCTTTCTCTCGCAAACAAACAATCACACACAAAAACATATTGGCATTTTCATCATTAAATAAATAAAATAAATAAATAAAAATCACTTTTTTAAAAAATTTAGTTCAATTTAATTTTTTTGTATAGCTCAGTGTCACAAATACAGGTTTAAAGGGCTTAAAAGGCATAAAAAATATTAAGAGATAAGGTATCCCAACAATTAATGCAATAATATATATATTATAAAGAAGAAATATTTAAATTCCAAATTAAAAGGGGTTGTACCAGTAAGTACAGTGTGGTGGTATACTGGTTGAGAGGCAACAAAATTTTAAAAGAAATCTTTTGCTTTGAAATTCATGTAATCTTGTAAAATTGAGCAACAAGATGTCAGAAGTAATCATAAAACAAATGTTATTGAATAAAGAGAATTACAAATCTCTACAGAATAATACTTTTATTCTTCTGGGTTTTTTCCTTCCATATTATTATTATTATTATTATTATTATTATTATTATTATTATTATTATTATTATTATTATTATTATTATTATTATTATTATTATTTCCTCAATTTTGGATAAATGTGAATATGCTACAGCTTCCACAAACCACATGCACTCAAATGGGGTTTGGAACAAACCAAAAAGTTGGGATGTCCTGTCATAGTGCAGTATAACTTAGGGCAGCACAAGGATATCAACACATTCATTAGAGAAGATTAGTAAAAATTCAATAGATTAAAACTTGTGTCAAAGCCCTAAAAAAACATATTTTTATGGTTAAAAATCAAAAGAGAGGAATAAGCCTAAACGGAGCACTCTGTTATTTTATGTGAATCTGATTTAAGGTTTTAAAAAGTTGGGACACTGTGTAAAATATAAATAAAAACAGAATGCAATGATATGCAAATCTTATCAACCCACATTTCATTTAAATTGAGCACAGAAAACAAATCAAATGTTTAAACTGAGACATATCATGTTAATATAAATATTATCACATTTTGAATTTGAGGGCAGCTAAATGACTAAAAAAGAGTTAGGACAGAATCTTGTTTACCACTGCGTAGCATCCTCTCCGCTTTTAACAACAGTCCATAAACATCTGGGAACAGAGGAGACAGCTGCTGGAGCTTTGAGAGAGGCTTTGTTCCATTCCCATCTTATATAGCATTCTAGCTGCTCAAGAGTCCTGAATCATTGTCATATTTTTTCATTCATGATGTGGCAAATGCTTTCAACTGGTGAAATTCTCAGCACCCAGATTCTTCTACTGTGCAACCATGCTGCTGTAATAGATCCAATATGTGGTTTAGCTGTCTTGCTGAAATATGCAAGGCTTTCCCTGAAAAAAAGATATTGATTGGAGCATATGTAGCTCTAAATCCTGTATACATATTTCAGCACTTTACAAATGTGCAAGCCGCCAATTACATTACGTCCCCATACTTTCACAGATGAAGGCTTTTAAACTGAGCGTTGATAACAAGCTGGATGGTCTCCCTCTTCTTTAACCTGAAGAAAGCAGCATCCATGTTTTCAAAAAATGCCTCATAAAAAGTATTTCAAATTTCAATTTGACCACAGAACACGTTTCCACTTTGCCTAAGTCCATTTTCAAAAGCAATTTGGACAAGAGAAAATCCCAGTGTTTCTAGGTTATGTTCACATATGGTCACTTCCTTGTATAATAGAGCTTTAACCTGTATTTGTATATGGTACAGTGAAATTTAATGGATGTGACCTTTGGAAGCATCCCAAAGTCAGACGCATCCAAAATTGAATTCAGCCTTGTCTTATGCACATAGAGATTTATCAATATTCTCTGAATCTTTTAATGATGTTATGTACTGTATATAATGAGATATTCAAAATCTTCATTATTATTAGGAACATTATTCTAAATTTGTTCCACAATTTCTAGATACAGTTTACAAAAAGAAACTCTGCATCTCTAAGATGTCCTTTTTCTACCCAATCATGTTACTGACCAGTTACCAATTAACCTAATTAGTTGCAAAATGTTCGTTGAGCTGTCTCTTTTCAGTACCACTTACTTTTCCACACTTTTGTTGCCCCTATTCCAACTATTTTGAGACACGTTGCTACCATCAAATTCAAAATGAGCAAATATATTTTTTCATGAAATAATAAATGTGTGATAAATATATTATTTTAAATATTTCATTTTTTTCCTATGGTTTAGTGTGACTAAAATATGGGTTTAGGAGATTTTCAAACCACTGAATTCTGTTTTAACTCACACTTTACACAGTATTCCAACATATTTTTATATTGGGGTTGTACATTGCTATCTGACCTGTACATGCCATGTTTGATGTTGAGTCAGACAATATTAAACCTCGAGATAGACATTCTGTTATGGCATATGTGTGTATACTTGCAGTGTGGAATCTGAATGATTATTGTGTATCTTTATGTTTTTTATGATAATATAATCCATTTTGTTGTTGTTGTTGTCAACCTGTAAAAGATTTACTATTCATTCTATTTTACATTTAAATTGTTTCTAACATTTAGTTTTCAGAACAGTATTATTGCCTAACATGTCTTTCATTTTGTTCTTATCTTAAAAAACAGACAGGCTGTACTAATGTAAGACAGCACTGGCAGAGTCAGCTTCTTTTTATTGTACTATTTCCCTGTAACTCATGTGTTTGCCCACATTTTTAACTGTTTTACAGAGTACTCAGAACCACAATGTAACTGCACCACCAGCACATGCTCCATGTTCGCCACCAGCCTCTACTATCTCTACCCCTTCAATATTGAATACCACATTTTTGTTTCTGTCTTGCTTTTCGTGATGTGGAGAAATATTGGACGCACCATTGACCTCACTTCAAACCACAAAAGGCAGGTTGCCAAAAACCGGGGCTTGATCTTAGGTCCTCTTGTGGGTCTACTTGCCCTGGCCAGCAGTATTGGAATACTGGTGGTCTACGTTACTCATGTAGAGAAGTCAATCCAGATGCGAAGGTCAGCCGTTTCCATGTTCTACATTTATGCCATCGTCATGCTGACGGTCATGTGCTGCGCCGGTGCTTCGGGTCTGCTTATATACCGAGTGAACCACATGCCGCTGGACACCTCCAAGAACCCGTCAAGACAGCTGGACACGGAGGTGCTGTTTGGATCCTCCATTGGCTCCTGGTTCATGTCATGGTGCAGCATAGTGTCTGTGCTAAGCACCGGAAGCAACCCTCCTTACCGCTGGACAAATTTGGTCTACTCTCTGTTTATTGTGTTGGAGAAATACGTCCAGAATCTCTTCATCATAGAGTCTTTGTATCGCCAGCAAGAGGATAGAGAGAGGCAGGACCCAGAGTTACCAGCTGCTCCAGAAGTCTTCTCTGTCACTTCCTCTCTCGCTCCGCCGTACAATGGCATCATCAACCGAACTTTTGAATCTCCAGACAGGAGCTGTGTCTCTACTGAGAGCGAGCAGGAGGAGAGTGAGCAGGTTTATGGATGCCCACGGAAACATTCAGATGTGCCAGCGCCTGTGGGAAACGAAACAGTGGAACGCCCAAATATAAAGAGGCAGATCCTGAAGAATATTGCCGTTTTCCTTATTATGTGTAACATTTCGGTAAGCACTGGTTAACTGGTCTGTGATGATTAGTTTTTTAATAGGTGGAATAGATCGAGCTGATGTAAAATCTACCGACCATTCGAAACTTCATTTGGTTAAGTGTATTTTACCCAACATAACTCCCAAAAGTCAAGAGTTATTGTTTGTTCATTTTAAGCTTCTGTAATTAATATATTTGCTATTCACTATTGCCATAGTGGTAAACCCAAAGAGGGATTCCATGCCAGTCACCCTCATTTTAATATGCTTAAGCCACATTTGTATTGTTTTGGTTTAGTTTCACTACTCTCATCAACAACAGATACAAAACTCTCCATTAAGTGCTATGTGACATGTAACAATCATTAGTTATAACTGAGATTATAACTAAAGTGAGGAAGTTACTAGCTTGTGGTGAAGGTAGTGGAGCACTGAGATATTTTCCTCAGGAGTGATGGTAGCAAAAGTAAAAATAGAGGTAATAGAGACTAATTACAGCATTTTTGGCTAATTGAATTTCAAATATAATAATATAAACAGGCAACTTTAAGCCTTATAAAATGACACTGTTGTGTTTCTACTTTGTTGTTCTGCCCCTAAGTAGCTAAAAGTATATTTATTTAGGTGTATCTAATTAGAGCTCTCTCTTTTTTCCATTTCAGCTGTGGATTCTTTCTGCCTTTGGCTGCAGGCCACAGTATGACAACGGACTGGAAGAGGAGACATACGGCTTCAGCATATGGAGCACAGTTCTCAATTTTGCCATCCCTTTGAACCTTTTCTACCGCATGCATGCAGTTGCCTCCCTCTTCGAGGTGTTCGCCAGAGTCTGACACAATAGCAGATGACTGACAATGCCAACATGCACACGAACACTTGTCACCACTGGCTCTCGAGAGTGTGTCACAGCGCAGGTCAACCATTCAGGAGGCAGTCTGGATCACAGTCGAACAGACTTGAAAGTAATCCGTGGAGACAAACGTTGATCCCTCACTGTGGGGATTGCAGAGGAGGACAAACCTATTAGACCTGGTTCCTTAAAGAATTAGCTTGTGTAATGCAAGGGTTGTTAAAGCTAGTGATGAAAAAATATTTGGTTTTATAAATTTAGAAAGGGTTCTTTGTACTTTTTATATTGTAGTAACATTACAGTGGGGTTTCTAACAGGTGGATCGTGTACAATATATGCTTTAGCTGACATACACTTTCTGTATTATTTCATATTAGTGACTGAAAACATAATTACTATTATAAAATAACACCCTACCAACATGATTACCATATTTAAAAAAGACTGCAGAGGAACTACATAAACACTCCTTATTTTCAATATCCAATAGTACTGTATTTAACAGCTACAAGCTCAGCGTGTGCCACCTGATCCTTACTTTATCTGCATTTAAAATGTTCATACTTTACATGGATAAGGTTCTCATTTGCTTGCCTAAGTAGTTAGGTTAGTGAACACTTAAGCTGTAAGTGCCAATCTAAGCACAAACAAATTAAATCATCTTTTGAGTTGGATATTAGTTCTCAGATGTAGCACTTAATTCCCTTTCTCAGCCATTAAAGGTTCCTCAGTGTCTTACTGCGTTCTCATTTGCTGCTCTGTGGAACTAATCAAGAAGTTGTGTTAAAAAAAAAGGCTTCTCCTCTGGACCTTGATAACACTGAACTAATGTGCATTAACACAATTGTGCATAAGGACGGGATTTTTGCAAAACAAACTGTTGCAGTGACAACTGCTGCATGGCACTGTGGACTGATGTTTACATCTGAAGAACCAGAAATGAAAACCATCACACTGATATAAATGACAACCCTTGCTTCTCCTCTATTAAAACCACAGATATATAATAGTACTGTACTAGTTTGTATCACCAAATAATTTCAGACATTCAGCAGGTTCTCAGCCTGGTGCCATATACTGTATGTGCTCTCAATATGTGCCAAGTTGTGCAAAATGTTTTGTTTTGCAGATTTTTCTGCCATCTTAGTAAATACTGTTATACTGACCAAAATCATTCAGAGGGTGCGCTATGATTTTGTGAAATTTCACTTAAATGGTGCTATTGAGAAATGATGTCTAAAGTTAGTGGTGATTTCATATCTTTTTCCTGTTGAAATAAACAAAAACTATCTTTATGTCATGTCGTGTTGCTTAACCTGCTACACACTGTGTTCACTCTTCAATAAAAGTCTGGAAGGGTAACAGATGCAGTGTGCCTACGCACCACAGGATGGCGCAACGTATTTATGTCTTTTGTTGAAACTGCTTTGGACTATCCAAATGATACTGCCTGATGGTCTTCATTTAAATGACTGTCTTACGATTTCTTAAAAAAATAAGTGACAAAGATAGGATAGATTTAGATTTGAAGACATACAAAGTTGCAAAGCATACCAACAGCAACGAAGAACTGCACAATTGTGCTTCTATTTGTGACTTCAAAATAGAAGTCCTATAGTTTGGTGTTAAATTGGAAATAGTAATCCGCAATATACACTTTGCGAAATATCAGTCATCTTTTGCAGCGACCTCCACACCAACCCGTCTATAGATAACTAACGTGTGCGATCTGCGTAAAAAGGAAATACAGTGTCGGACACAGGTTGTCTCCTGACATGGCATCACGAGCTTATGTTTATGCTACTTCAGAGAATATGGCATCGAGAGTCGGGGGATGATTTTACCGTTGTGTCAGAACGATTTGACAGGCAGGCGGAGGCGTCTAAAAATATCCGTGACGTTTCAAAGCCGGAAACGGCGCGTCTGCTGCACAGGCACACGACGACGCAGAGCAGCTCCCGGCCTAACATGCTCCCTAGGAGTGTGAATGTGACTCACCTGTTCGGACAACTCGGCTAAATGGGTGGGTTATGACCTTCAGTCGCTGCCGTCGGGAGACAAAATAATACCGAAAAAAAGAAAAGAAAAAAGAACTCCTCCATAGTTAAAAAGTACCTTTTTTTCATTAATAAGGCAAACGCAATAGAAGTATCGAAGTAGCCTGTCATATTACCTAAAGACGTGCTAGATGGATTATATTATTTTCATTATTCACTGAAAAATTTACATAGATAGATAGATAGATAGATAGATAGATAGATAGATAGATAGATAGATAGATAGATAGATAGATAGATAGATAGATAGATGGATGGGTTCTCAGCTTTCAGCACCACGGACAGTTCTGCACTGTTAGACTATGGGTGAGGCTCCGTTCTTTCACTGTCACTTCATGGGCGTATGTTGTACTTTTGTGTGTATAATATAGATTGTAAATGCACTCTCTGGACTTTTAATGAAGTTTAATCTTGGACAAAAATACACAGTGTTGTCTCTCTGAAGTCTGCCGTAATAATAGGGCTCAAATATAAACCAGGCTATAACCCGCGGCTGATAGGAAGTTTGTAATTGCTCTCTTTGGAGTACACACACACACACACACAAGAAAAAAATCCCTGAAAATGCCGAATGCTCTATACCCAGTCCCGACGCAGTGGACTGCTGTGCGTAACACGTACATGTTACGCACAGCAGTGTCAGTGTATGCGCACAGTCCTGGCTAAGTTAGTGTGTTGGGACTCCCTCCTTACCCACGCTACGCTCAGGATATCTTGTGCAGAAAGCTTCAAAGTGGAAGCCAGGTCAGACGATCCGACCGTAAAGGCTGCAACATGCGCCCGCCACTACATGCTGCGTTTCAGCCCCTCAGCGCACCTGACACGTCGCCTGGCTCACTTTTAACACGCGCAATTGTCTCGTTCCCTCTGTTTCGCACTCCACATGAGGCTCGCAGCCAGGCTGATCATTGGGGACAAAACGATGGTTGGCCGATAACTGAGCCCGTCCCCGCGCACGGAGCAATGGACTTCAGTTTTACTTGAAGAGGCAAATGGAGAATCCAGCAAAGTATCTCTCGTCAGTGCAGGGTATTGACTCTGCGCGGGCACCCCTCGGAGAGATTATGTGGAACAGTACTGAAACTGAGGCAAAAAGCGACGGGAGAAGGGATATGGTGGCACGCACAGTGACGGGCTGTCTGCTTTCTCTGCTTATCCTATGGACCCTGCTGGGGAACATCTTGGTCTGTTCCGCGGTGCTGCGCTTTCGGCACCTACGGACCAAAGTCACCAACATTTTCATCGTGTCCCTAGCGCTGTCGGATTTATTCGTAGCTGTCCTGGTCATGCCCTGGAAAGCTGTGGCAGAAGTAGCTGGCTATTGGCCGTTTGGCACTTTCTGTAATGTGTGGGTTGCTTTTGATATTATGTGCTCCACCGCCTCCATCCTTAACCTCTGCATTATCAGCGTGGATAGATACTGGGCCATCTCCAGTCCCTTCCGCTACGAGAGGAAAATGACCCAGCGAGTTGCCTTTGTTATGATTAGCATCACTTGGACGTTGTCTGTGCTCATTTCATTCATACCGGTCCAGCTAAACTGGCACAAAGCCAGCGGTGACGACATGGTTGGAGCGCACAACTCTTCCATAAGTAGGCAGGTAGAGGAAAACTGCGACTCCAGTCTGAGCAGAGAGTATGCGATATCCTCCTCCTTGATAAGTTTTTATATCCCAGTGGCAATTATGATTGTAACATATACCAGGATATATCGGATTGCGCAAATACAAATTAGAAGAATAGCCTCTCTGGAGAGAGCGGCAGAACATGCGCAAAGTTGCAGGACCAACAGAATAGAGTGCCAACACCACAACACACTGAAAACGTCGATTAAACGTGAAACCAAAGTGTTCAAAACTCTGTCGGTGATCATGGGTGTCTTTGTGTGTTGCTGGCTACCTTTCTTCGTTTTAAACTGCATGGTCCCGTTCTGCGACAGGCCGGCGGCAGACCGGGATGCGGGTCTTCCGTGCGTAAGCGAGACGACCTTTGACGTCTTCGTGTGGTTCGGCTGGACCAACTCCTCTCTGAATCCCATCATATACGCCTTCAACGCTGAGTTCAGGAAGGCCTTCGCCAGCCTCTTAGGCTGCCGCTATTTCTGCTCCAACACGCCAGTGGAAACTGTTAACATCAGCAACGAGCTGGTGTCGTATAACCAAGATACCCTCATCCACAAAGAAATCGCGAACGCTTATGTGAATATGATCCCCAATGTCGTTGAATGTATCGAGCATGAGGAGACTTTCGACAGGATTTCACAATTTTCTCACAACCACGAAAACGCCACCGACTCGGTTTGTGACCTGGAGGACTGCGAGGCAGACATCAGCCTTGACAGGATGTCACCATTCACACCCAATGGATTACACTGACTCCACACCTTGTCTCTCCCCGTGCGTAACTGGATGTATTGGTAATAATTTCATTGTTCACTCAGCTCTTTGCCTCTTCACAGGAGGTTTCTGTGCGGCAGCCCTTGCTTCTGGGTTCAGGGCTGTCTTGGAACCCTCTAACGGACACTTAAGCAGGGGCATGTCTCTGCAGCCACAAGGCCAACCTGACATGAAATGTGATGTTTTCTTGTTGTCTGAAACAAATTTGATGTGTAGGTGTTTATTTAAATGACAAGTGAAGTCTGTGTTCCTTTGTTCAAGGTTCAGTGTTGCTAAAGCTGTTGTTTACTCAGAGGCTTTAATGGCACCATCGTCTGATGTCCATCATGACTGAGGGAAAGTGTTTGTAAAAACAAGACTCTTTGCTGCTTAATAACTTCATGTGTATCCAGTGTTCACCTTTCCACTGAGTATGAAAACTGGGGGAAAGCCTTATAGACAGTGAAACCAAGACAGTCAAATGCAGTTATTTCAGAGCCTTATAGCTTATTCAAATAACAGCTTTGAGATATAAAAGGAATGTGTCCTGT